AGCTGCAGAGTGGCGGGGAGGAGGGGGGGGGGGGGGAATATGCAGGAGCTCCCCTCACTACTGGGCCAGCAGCTGCAAGGTCTGTGTTCCCCCGCTGGGAGCAGTGACGAGCCTATGAAACACCGGCTCCCAGAGAAGTAGGGGATAAACACCAACTAAAAATAAACAGCTAAAATGGCTCCTACATACACCACCTGGCCAAAAAAAAGATATCACCACCTGGGTTTAGCTAAACAAATAGGTAAGAACCTTTTGAATAATTAGTCTAGGTTCAGCAATGTTATGTCCCCAAAGAATGAGATCAGCTGCCTACCGGAATATACGGAATGACAACGTTTCTCCATCAATGGATTTTCTTTTCCTTGAGGCACGGGCATATTCCAAGATGAAAATGCCAGGATTCATCACGCTCATATTGTGAAAGAGTGGTTGAGGAAGCATGAGACATCATTTTCACACATGGATTGGCCACCACAGGGTCCAGACCTTAACCTCCTTGAGAATCTTTGGTATGTGCTGGAGAAGATTTTACATAGTGGTCCGACTCTCCCATTATCACGTAGATCGTGGTTAAAAATGAATGCAAATCTGTACAGAAATAGATGTTGTGACATTGTATAAGCTTAGCCAATCAAGGCAGATGCCTACCCTAATCAAAGCTAAAGCCGGTCCAACAAAATATTGAGTTTTGTGGGTTTTTTTTTTTTTGTGCCAGGCAGTGTATGTATATGTTCTGTGTATTTAGCTATTTGCTTGGAGTTCAGCCTTAAAGAAGCGCTCCAGGAAATGTTTATTAACCATTTCAGTGGGGCTACCCCTGCACTGCAAGGGTTATGTGCTTGTTTGTGTTTTAGGTTTGAAAAAATAAATGTTATACTCACCCGAAGCTTGGAGCAGGTTTGTTCTTAGACTGGTCCTTTCAACGTCTCTCCCCCTTCTCTGCAGCCGTCTAAGGTCTTGTAAATCACGTCTATGCTAGGGATGTCCCGATTACCACTTTTTCAAGACCAAGTACTGTCCCTCAGGTACTTGCCGATAACAATTACCAATACCTTTTCTTAAAGGGACATGTAAAAAAAAATTCTAAAATCATTAGTCTGTATTGTTTTAGAGCAGTTTCTTTATAATTATGAAGAACTGTAACTCAATCCATTATTCAGCAATGGAAAATGCCAACCAGCTATAGAGGACCACAAATCTAAGCAATCCATTATTATTCAGCAATGGAAAAGGACTACCAGCTATCATGGATTGCTGGGATTTGCAGTCCTCTATAGCTGGTTGCCATACATATACAGGGCTGTGTGCGGGTCTCGCCAGGGCTGCATGTGAGTGCCAGCCCCTAACCCCACTGCAAGGGTTAATAAGATTTCCTGGAGTTCTAAGAAACCTGTACTGAGAGAGCTGTAGGGGTAGGCATAGGCATCCTGCTAAAAGGCTATTTTTCAGCAAATTGACAAATACCCAAACTTGCAGCAAATGAAGTTTAGAGTTAAATCACAACTCCTGACCTCTCAAAGTCACTGTTTCCGTGTATTTGTTATTGGATTAGCTTAACAAACAGAGAACTAGCATTTTCAAAAGTAGGGGCAGCCTACATGTTGCTTTTATACATGTTTCCTTAAAAATAAATAATAGTAAAATGTGATTTTAAAATGATAAAAAATAAATGAAAAGCAAAATGGGATTTAAAACGATAAAAAAATATAAAAAAACACACAAGATTTATACATACACACAGGTTCCACCGCTGTACGTAAAGCACATGGAATTCACACTTTAGGCAAATTTGTTTAAAGGAAAATATAGTGGGGGGAATTTTATCAAAATGGGAGCAGATCAAATCTAGATCAGTTGCCCACAGTAATCAGCTTTTATCTTTTAGTATGTTCAGGTAAATGTTGAAAATGAAAGCAGATGGTTGTTGCCATGGTCAACTGCTCCCGATTTTTGCCTGCTCCAGTTTTGACAAATTCCTTTTAGTATATTTTTAGGAAGTTCTTTCATCAAATAGTTATAGCAGCGCTTGGCTGTAAGCAGTTTTTAATACGACTTAAAATTGTTATTACATGCTTGCTCTTCCTTTTTTAGTAGGACCAGAATATTGTCTTTTCTGGGTTAATTATTTAAATGCAAATCTATATTGTCTGTCAAATTGAACCTTTTGTTTGTTTGTTACAGCATTAATATGTATATATTTTTGTTCTTGCACCAGTTATTACTGCAATGTCTGTGACTGTGTAGTGAAGGATTCAATCAACTTCTTGGACCATATCAATGGCAAAAAACGTAAGTAGTTATTCTGAAAATGAACATATTTCTTAGACTTCTAGACATTGCTGCAAAAGATGTATGTTGTTGTCTTGCCTGTGATGGTTCTTTTCCTTACAGTGAGCTGCAGGTGGCAGCAGCGCAAAGCAACAAACGTTTTCATTCTTTATTTAGTGGTGGAGGTTGCAACTTTAGATTCGCATGCTCAGAATATCTGATCACTGTAATCACTGTAATCATTGCGTGCACAGAGCTCCTGAGTGTGCCAGAAAAATAATTAGCTGTCCTACCTAGCATTTAACAGTCCACAGGTTAATCACAGTCAGTACTACAATACCGGTATTTGTATGTTTTGATGATGACTTCACTGTTTTGTTACAGTGACATGTATGGTGCTAAACCTAGTATACTGGCTGTGGCTTGGCAAAACTTACTATGGTTTAGAGACCCATTCAGGGCAAAGTAATAGTGCGTCTCTATTCCTGTATTTTTCCACTGTTGCCAACTGTCTCATAGCAACTTGTTAATTCAGGAGCAGCATGGAGATGTAAGCACATACTTCACATATGCCCTGGTCTCCTCCTTGCAACTTATAGTGAACCCTGAAGTTCTCTGTATTGTACACTTCTATGTTCATCCTCCGTGTAGTGCTGGATGTGGGGGGAGAAGGTCAGGAACTTTATCCCTGATCTACTACTCCAGCATAGCTGGGAAACTGGCGGGGTCTATTGAGTTTTCTCCATAAAGAGGACCTGCCACGCCTTTTGTTTACTGTCATCTGGGTTCCTCTTAGCACCTAACACTTCCAAACACTAATACACATTTTAGGCCCCCTTTACAGAGGTTTTTCTGCCTGGTATCACATTTTGGACCCATTCACGCTGCTGTTTTCCAGTAATGCATAGGACAAAAAAAAATAATCACTTTTTGCCTTCTGTTAAGGTAATGCACACAACTAAGTGCAGTGCATTGCAGAGCCTTCAATCTGAATTTTAGACACATCTAGCTAGCACACTGCAATGCATGTGTGCTTTATCACATAACTATTGTGCTTTTGTGCACACCCTAAAATGCAGATGTAAAGTACCTGTACAATATGGTGCTCTGAATTGGAAAAAAAAACAGTATAGGTCAATATTTTGTGTTTAGGTACCTTGCTAGCCCATTCATTGCAGCACACTACAATGCACAAAAATTAGTGTGTTAATGCAATGCAGAGTATGGCAGGGCCAATAGGGATTTCCCACAAGGCTAACCAAGGCCCTGCCTTGGGGCAGCAGGGAGTAGAGGGGCAGCAGGGGTGTGGAATTCCTATCTCTCAATGCCTGGGACATGCAGTTCCGGGCGGGTAGTTGTTTTCTACATTTAGCCCTGCTTTGGGCAAGCAGAGCTAAATGTACAGTGGGGAAGCCGCCACTTGTTTTGTACAATTGATCCCAGCGATGTCGCCGAGATCACTTGTATGCAGCCTGTAGGTCTGCCATTCTCCATGGGGGGGGGGGGGGGGGTTGGGGGCGGGGGGGGGG